TCTCGTCCACCCCCGTAGGTCTAGTTCTGACGAAGTCCACACCGATGTAGCGGTGAAAATGCGGACAGTAAAAGTTATATCATTGGCTTTGGTATGCCCTCAATAAATTAGCTAAAATATATCTTATTCATGGCTACCATGTATCTCGGTACAATCCTCGCAATGCAATGCCCTAAAATGCGTGTCATGAACGTAAGTCGGCGTTCCGCCAATCTTCTTAATTCTGGAACGTTTCGCGACCAGTGGTCGTTGGACGCCCATTTGAGGAGTCTCTAAAAAGATTGCCAGGTTAGTGGTCAGCAGCTGATTAAGTGACCTGTTTCCTTTCACTGGCCATCGTACTTTCTCAGTCCGATCAAGCAATCGAAGCGAAAACGCACCTGTTGGCCAGCAACCCGTGAGATCCCTACCGAAAGCCATTCTACGGACAGTTTCGCTATGGTCAGAAGACTCGAACCTGGCTTCGAAAGTTGGTGCAGACAATGCTACTGAAAATTAGTGGTTGCTTCCGGTAGGCACAATTCTGAACAACTGGCAGGCAAAGAATTTGGCGTTTAGGGTTGGCGCTAACATGTTCATTGACCGCCAGGTTGCCATCAAACAGAAGCCTTCGACCAGCTCTGCTTTTACTCTAAAAACTGAGGTACTACTTTCTACTGCAGAAAAGAAAGGGAGCAGCACATGGCCAAATATTATGGATTTAAGTGTATTGCTAACACATTTTACTCGTTATGCAAATAGGAAAATGAAAGACAGAAAAGCTTATAGCCTTGAGATGTCCCTCCTTCTTACACTTCATGTTGAGATAATTTCCGGAGCTTAACTTTTAGTGAAGTTGATGAAATGGGGCTGATCTCCGCTTCCATGAATCATTCCTGGATCTTCTTGATTTGTGGGCAAAATTTTGAGCAGCTGTATGGCAAGCATAGAGCGCGATCTTATATTTCCTTCCCAGAGAACAGTAGTCATTTATCAACCTCAGAAGGAAGAAAGGCGAGATTTTGCGGTTCTGAAACTGACTCATTTACTGAGTAACCCTGGCGTTAAGCTGTGTGTAGAAAATTCCTTGCTCAAGAAAATTGGTGGCTAAGATAAAAATTGCCCTCCTGAATCGAACTCAGCTCCTCCAGAGTTACAAGCTCCGTCGTAGGTACTGTGCCATCAATCAAGGTATACCACAACGTATCATAGTAGAAGTATAACTGCAACTGAATTCGCTTTGCAGTGTCATACGCTCTGATTTGTGGGTCCCCCTGCAACGTCCAACTGTACAGAAAACATCGCTCACATATATCTATCGAAAATTACAGTATTTTTCTGACAGCCGCGCCTCATTGATTGCCAAGACTGAAAAAGGGACTGCGTATGACGACGTGTGTCCCCCTCTTCACCAACCTGCCAAATGAGTGTAGCTGGGCAGATCGTGAACAGATTAGTGCAGGACAACAAATTGCTAAATTCTCAAAGCTGTACATCGAAGGCCAACGAACGAACGGCCGGGCAGGCGGCATGTCGCTGAGCAAGCTGCTCAGAAAAAGCGGCAAATAACGTAAGAAAACGGCGTTGCTTAACCCACGCCAAACGCTGGACGTGGTGCGTCTTAGGAACGTGTGAAAAACCGCACCAAAAACGCATCAACGGGCAAAGGCCCAAACCAGCAAGAGGCCAACGACGACGAAGCACGGCGAGACACTTACCCCGGGCTCATTGGTCAGAATGTCCATGGTGCTGTGTACGGTGGCGGTGCATCGAAGGACC